ATTCATCTAAACAGTTGTCTATCAAGCTAACCTGGAGCACAAATGTAAAACACAGGCTAGATAGTGATAAAAAAAACAAGAAAAGTATGAAATAAAATACTTCACCTGTTCTAGTAAAATGCATTTGTAGTGCTACAGTTTGTCTTTTTGCCTGAAAGAAAGTTTTGTGATGGAGCAAGTCGCATTTGTGCCTCCCACAGATGCACCCAAAAATATCCAAAAACCAGTACTTGACTCATGTGCTGTGGCTGACATACAACATGAAGCATCTCATGGCTCTTTACTAACCATTAAGTGATGTCTCATCTTTCCATAATGTATACCAGTATCTCAAAGAAAATCACCATTCTATAGCAACTAAAGAAAAATGTTGTCAAGAGATATGGTGAGTTAACATTGTGAGTCAACTGTACATGCACCCACTTGTTCTGTAGCAGCTCATTGTCCTGGCGCAGCTGGCCTAGTTCAGAGCGAAGGCTGCGGTCCTGGCCGCTTAGAGAGGAAAGCTGCCCCCGTAGCTCCGACTCCAACTGCCTGTTGGCCTGAAGATCTGCTTTCAGGCGCTTCACATCCTGCTCCAGCCTTTCACACAAGAAGATAAGAGGGTCATCATAACACTTACTGGAAAACTTAGGAAACCACAAAACTAACAAACATTATTTGGTTATAAAATGAAGAGTGGTGACTTTCAGAGTTAGCAGAGTTGTACTGGCTGGAATCCTTCAATAAAGAGTAATTTATACAACACAGAAACCAAAAGCAAGATAAGACACAACAAAACATGCACCAACACTGACAGGATTATATGGTAAGAGAAGCTTGTTTGTTTGGAGCAGCAGAACAGTGTTTCTCTTACCGTACTAGAGCGTCTGGCTTGCCCAGCTGGTTGTTAGGGATGCAGTTCTCCACAGGATCCTTCTGGCCCTTCCCTGAACCCTTCTGCTTCTTTTCATTCTTATTGGTTGAGGAACCTGGTGGTATGCTGCCATTTGTAGAGCTGTGATTCCGTGGAGATGAGTTGGAAATGTTGCCCCCACCTCCAGTGGCATTTTTGTAGTTCTTCCCTGTCCCACCCATTTCCTCTTTCGTAGCAGTGTTTGTATTAGTATCTGCATGTGTGTTTTCTCCTGCCAGGTCATTATTCAGTCTCTTTGCCCCAACATAGTTCTCAATATACTCTGTCTCCCCTAGTTTGGAGTCCAGTACGTGTATAATACTGTTGTTATTGATTCCAATTGTGTTTTGTTTTTTACCCTCACGCTCTTTCACAGTACTGTCCTTCCCTTTTTCCCGGTACTCCAGTTCTGGTAACGGGACTGGCATGCTTTTCTTTCCAGAAGGTGCTCCGTTTTGGGATATTACTGGGGGTTCTACCTCTGAGACCCCTTTAGTTAAAGCCACTGGAAGGAAAAGAATGTAGAAAGCATTTATAAGGCATATGAAAACATTCTAGACAGATTTATCACAAATACCAAAATAAACTATAAACATATTTGAATGAAACAGAGACCGATAGAAAACAAAGAAAATCCCTTACAAGACTTAATAAACAGCCTCATGACAGCAGGCTGATACAGGAATACGTTCCTGCTTTCTTTTACCTACAAACCATGAGGTGCTTTAATATCTAATGTCTTTGGTGCAATCAAATAATCTCTGGTGCATTTGCCTGTTAAGTTTGTTGGTGGTGTGAAAAGCTGTCAGTCCACCTGTGGTGCAAACTAAACAACTGGACTGAGACTGTCTGAAAATGGGGGTGAGGGGGAGTTAAACAAGAGGCATCTATTGCATCACAATGTCAGACATGAGAATGTTGAGAAAACAGACTGTATGCCCCTGATTCATTAATCCAGCAAATGAACATTTATGTACATGCACGTTACGTCATCTGGTATTTACATCTCATAACAGTCCCTAAACAGCCCCGTCATCCTTGTTCATTAGTGTTATTAGTTTTGGTGGACCATTTCCACAGTAATTATTGCTTCTTCACGCTACAGAGTATGTGTAGTGTTTTACATCTGTAATGAAGTAGTGCAAAAAGATTTGTGCGTGTGTGTGTGTGTGTGTGTGTGTGTGTCTCACCCTCCTCTTGCTCCCTTTCTTGTCTCTGCAGCATCTGTTGCTCTGGCGGTAAAGCCTGCTGTAGAAGCTGCATATAGAATTCATTCTCCTTTTGCACTTCCCTCTGTTTCCTCAGTCGCATCTTGTAGCTAACGTAGCTCTTAAAGCCGAAGCCCAGAGTCACCACTGGATAGCCAATACTGGAAGGTGAAGTGTAACACTGACAATAAACTTCCAATTCATAGTTTCCACATGGCGTCATATCCTTAGAGGACCGCCCAAAGCATGGTATTATTGCCCCACCCTCCACTTATTTTTACGAGGTATGTTTAGCCACACTGCTAGACAGATGTTGGAAAAACTGTTTTGTTTAGATTTATGTCATAAGATATTGTGTTAACATGACCAAAGTATTACTGCCTTGTCAGAACATAGACTGCAGTGATCAGCATTAGGTAGCTAACATCACCTCTCATACGGCAGAACTGACCACATCTAATACTTTTGTAAGCTTTCATCCTGGTGGCAGTGTAAGGAGAGGGATTCTCCAGAAAGATATATGTAAACATTGCTTAAGTGGAGCTGTGGCAGGGACGTGGCTACACACACAAGGTGCAGGGCAGAGATCATTCACAGTAGAAGCCTGCGCTCTGGCTGCATTCACATAAAATCCTTCCCACAGAGTTGTGTGGAGGTGTGGTCATGTTTATTTGTAATTTAGAAACCGCTGTGAAAACAATCAAAAAATAACATTTAATTTCTCTGATTTGTTGCTTTGTTTTACTAGTGCTGCTCTGTCTCTTCATTCACACGCTAGCTTGCTTGACCACCATTGCTCTCTCTCTCTCTCTGTTTCTCGGTGGAGTAGATTTATAACATAGGCAGTGAAATGTGGTCAAATTTATTTATTTTTTTAAAGTTGCTCTCCAGAATATACTATGACAATAAATGACATTTACCAGTGAGCAGCAAAGGGTCGACACAGGTCTACATGAAAGTTCTTCAGGTCTTTGAACCGTATGGCAGCTTCAATATACACAAACAGGATCCACAGTGATACAGTGGGTAGACAGACTCCTCTCTCTGTGTGAGCGTAAGAGACAAGGAAAAAAAATTGCTCTCTTGGGTCTAGCACTGTGGAAACTTGGCAGCTTTGAATTTCTTGTGAACTGAGTCTTTGTGGTGAATGCGGCCCTTTGGCTGGCAGAGATAAAAAACAATCTATATCAAATCTGGACTAACCTGTGTGCCATACATACTGAACCCATACGTAGGTGCTGGCAGCAAAGAACAGCCATTGGACAGGGATGAAGAGGAGACAGATGATGTCTGATGTAAATGCCACACATACGAAGAAGACAGAGAAAGCCTGAGTAGAAAGAAGACAGACAATTAAAAATGACATAACAACTGTGCAAAAATAGGGTAATGTCTACAATACACTCACACATTAATCAAATAGTGCTCCAGGTGACCTTCAGCATGGGCAATGAGGTCAGGGTCAAACACACAAGCTCTTACCAGCCCCTGATATCTGAAGGAATCATACACACTTCGAATGAATAGCCAGAAGGGCCACAGGTACTCAAACCGGAAGTCCAGCACAAAGTCCGCCAGCAGTACTAACACCCACACTACCAGGAACTTCAGGTACAGGAATGTACTGTGGGAAAAGAGAAGATGGGGAAGAAATGTGGAGAAAAATGTTAAACAGAGAGACACAAGGAAGAGACAAAGAGGAGGCGCAAGAGATGGCTTATCAAGGATTAGGATGGTATCATGGTAGGCAGTTGGACACCAGATTTACACAGCACCAGTAGTTATAATAACATTTGAAGTGTGACTTGCTGACAGTGTTACCTTAAGTTGATACAAAGATTGAAGGCAGGTAAAACCCATCTTAACTGAGAGGATGCATACAAATCTAAACATGTTTCTATGATCAGAAAACTGAAATACAATATGGGTTCAGAGACATACAGGCAAGTGACAGATAGAGGTAGTGAGAGGTTAAGACTAAGTATAGAGATACATGTCTGGACATGTTACTTATAACACAGCTGGTCTCCCTTTCCTGGCTTGCCATAAGTCAATGTATAGGAAAAGGCTTAAATCTCCTGAATGAATGTGTGTGGTCTTTATAGTCCGGTTAGCCCTGTCTGCTCTGATGGGCATTGTTTCATTTAGACCCTGCCAGACAAAGCATGGGTTAGCGTCCCGCCGTCAGCGTCACCCTGACTTCAAAACGAGCGCTTCTGACATTGTCGCTGTCATCTCATGCTCTAAACTGATTTTTGTCACTAGTTCTTAATATTGCTTCTTTTATCCGAAAAGCTGTTCATTAAGCGGGCTGTTTTATAATCCACACTGAATGCCCAGAGTCTCACTGCCACCTTTCATTTGAATTGAGCCAGAATTTGAATTTAACTACCTAGCTAGGGACAAATTATGTACGAGATGCCACACAAGTAATGTTAGGTAAGGCCTATAATTTTTAGAATATGCGGGTATGCTCATTTTACTTCTTTTGTAGCGCAAAACCAAACCGTACTTAAATATAAATGTAGCAGAGGCGGCCAGCCCCGTCTTGACATATGTAGAGGCGCCATTGTTATACAATAACGTCCCTCCAGCCCCTTTTTTGTACCTGCTATATATACCCTCGGTGATTCGGTTCCGTTTTAACGGCCGTCGGAGTTTGCTGCAGTCCGCATTGCGCCGCTTCATCCTCCCCCTGTTGATTCACTTATGATATCGGTCTGGTAACAGCAACTGGAAATGTCATTCGCTCATCCTGATATCCACACTTCTTCAATTATCCACCATTGTTGTTGTTTTATGCCCAGGAAACAAAGAAATAAATAAAAACAGTCCGCGAAAAGCCCTCCCCTTTTCACGACACATTACGTCCTCTTAGTAACGTCTGATGTCACGACGTCAGAATAGACGTATGAAACATGGCTGCTCTCACCGAGTTGAGTTGTGTCTCTCAGTTTTAGGTTTTTAAAATGAATTTCTGAACGGTAAGTGTGATAGAAACGGGTTCCCGTAATCTAATTTACTTTACATTATGTACCGTATCTTCTTATGTTAACGTCAATGGCACATAATATAAGATTACATGTAGCGTTAACGATACATGGTAAAACGTATGCATGCTTACCACGTTTGTTTTGGCAGTGGTGATTATCTTGTAACTCTCAGGTAACACTATAACGCTACACGAGATTCACAAAACAGCATTTTTGCTCCTGCACATATCCATGTCATCTCCTGTTTATTCAGCTGCGACATCATATCAATCTAATCATAATTTCGATAAATCGTTGTGCGCATGCATGTTGTGGTCTTTTCTTGATAGGAAACTGCAGCAGGATCCACGTCTTAAGAAATGAAAATTAATGAAAGAAACCTTTAAATAAACGTGTGCAGTCTCTTTTGAGCTATTTTATATTAATGCTGTGGTATTTCCCAGCGTTACATTTACAGTTATTTACCAATCTAAAATGGGTTTCAACAGATGATGCACACCGAGCGTAAGATGGAGGAAAGGGTGCCACAGCCAGAGGAAGAAGAAGGAGAAGATGAGGTCGGAAGTGAGGAAGAAGGAGATAAAGACGAGGATGAACAAGTAGTAATGCCACTGGCCTCAGATAAAACTGAGGAAAATATTCCATTAACTGCTCAATGTAAAGAGAAAAAGCAGGCTGATGTCCTAAACCTCAACAACGAGGTGGTGAAGATGAGGAAGGAGGTGAAGCGGGTGAGGGCTTTGATCATCAGGAAGCTGACACGTCAGATTGGTGCCCTGAAAAAGAAGAAGGGGAATGAGATGGAAATTGAAAGGAATCATAGGAGAGCTGGCAGATTGCTGGAGGATATCCATGCTATGAAGGGCCTCATACCAGACTTGGTAGGTTTTATATTAACTTCTTTGTATTCATACATTTCAGAATGAATTCTGAAATATTTTCTGGACAAATTCAAATAAATGAAGTAATATGTCATGTATTACCCTTTTTAAAATGGTAAAAACATTTTGTCATCAAATTAAATGTTTTTGTTTGTTTGCTTGTTTAATTATTTGATAATTATCTAATTGATTTTCCAATTTACAGGTGACCAAGACAGCCTTGCAGAAGAACCTCAACTTTGACCAGGTGTGTAAAAATCCCAAGTCCTCAATTTCTGACCGAGCTATAGCTCGCATCGCCACCCACCCTCACTTCAGCAAAAAGATCGAGGACATCAAAGCTGGTGTGAAAGCCTTCAAAGAGGAGCGAATGAAGGGTAGAAAGCAAGGAGGGAAGGAGAAGGTGCAAAATCAGATTGGAAAGGTGAACCCACGGTCACCAGAGAGAAGTGGAGACAGAAAGAGTGAGAAAGAGGAGGAGGAAAATACAGTGGAGCAAAAGAACGTGGTGGACAATGAGGAAGGAGATGCTATTGGTAAAGACACTAAAGATGCATCTGTTGTTGAATATGAAAGGGAAACAGGGAAAGAAACTCAGTCAGCCTATACTGCTCATGTTCAAAAGAAAGACATGCCAAAGTCTAAGAGTGTAAAACCAGTATCATTAAAAAGCAGTCAAGTAAATGATGTGAAAGATAAACCTCAAAGTAAAGATGGAGAAAAGAAACCCAATTTCAGTCCTGCACCTCCATTCCAGAAAAGATCCCATGATGAAGAGAGTGATTTAGAGTCATCAGATGATGAAGAGAAAGAGTACTTTGATGACAGCACAGAGGAGCGTTTCCACAAGCAGTCCTCCCACTCAGAGGAGAGCGACGATGATGACTTCTTTATAGGAAAAGTGAGCAAATTCAAGAAGAAGAAGAAGCAGAAAAGCATAGAAGGAGAGGAGGAAGGTGAGAAGAATTATGACGTGAGAAAGGACTCGCCAGAGAAGGGGAAAACTTCAGATAAGGTTCAGAGTGAACTTGATGAGCTTAGGTCAAGGCTGAAGTCTAAAGCTACCTCCCTGCAATCTGTTTTCTGTTCTTCCCTCTCTGGTTCTAAGCACAGTCGGGGAGGAGTTGCAGGCAGAGGGAGAGGCGTGGATAAATTCAGGAGCCAGGGCAAACCGAAGGGTGGTAGTGGTCTAACTAGAGATTTTAGTAAACAACCGAAGTTTGCAAAGCAGGGTAAAGGAAAAGAAGGAATTTCAGGGTCTGGGTACAGCAAGCACTGCCCTGAAGTTAGACATCCTGAGATGGAGGAGAAGAGCTCTGCCTTTGTTGGCAGAGGTAGGGGCCAGAGCAGAGGTGATGTTACAGTGCACAAGGATCACAGGGGTAAAGGTATGTTTTCCCATCAGGCACTGCACCCATCCTGGGAGGCCAGTAAGAGAAGGAAGGCGCAGCAAGGACAAATCCTGGCCTTCCAAGGAAAGAAGATCAAGTTTGATGATGATGATGACTGAACTGACTTTTTCCACTTGGTTGTAAATGTAAAGTACATATATATGATTGAGTGACTTATGTGACTTAAGTGTGTGTTATCTAGCACACATGTAAAGTGTAAAACTAGTCATTTGTGTTGTTCTGCCAGCATTGTGTGGATTTGAGAAAAAATTTTGTTTGATTTGCTTTTTTTATGATGAGGTTTCACCACTTTATCTTAACCCTTGTATGATTCTTAGGAAGGTAATTATGGCCTACCTACTACTGTATACATTCTGTGAAATTGATGCACATGAATATCCATTGCAGGAAGCCTTTATACCAAATGATGTTTTCTTGCTTGTAGTCTTTAATTGTTATTTGAGCTTAAACTATATAAAGTTTATATTTTATGGTCGTGTATAGTATGTCCTGTATTTCCAGAGGAGGTTAATATACAGTTCCACCCACTGGTTAAATTGGGATAAGTGATGAGGAACCCTTGGGTTAGTGGGTGCAGAGGGAAATGTAATCTGCTGACTATGTCCTGACATTTTTCAAAGCATTTTTATTCAAATACTGGCTGCTCTCAGAGGGGCACTGAAGGTAGCATCCTGTTCCTCACTCTGGGGCTCAAAGTAATTTTTCTGTCTGTGTCCTACAGCTGTTCTGAATCCTACCTTTAACTGTCCCAATCCTACAACCACGGTCCCACATTGTCCCTTTTTCATTTGACATTATAAATAAAGTTTAATATCTAGGTTTTTTATCTTTATAAAATGTATGCTAGTTATTGTCAGATCTTATGTCTGAATTAAAGCTTTTGGCTATATCAACTACACTGTAAATGCAAACCCTGATCAATATACAGCAATGAAAATTTAAATTGACACATTTGGAATACACAGTAAACAGTTAATTTATAGTTTGCTTTTGTTAAACACCTAAGAAATTTGCTTAAAATGTCTTTAAATTGGTATTCATCTGATTGAATTCCTTAAATGTTAAGTGACAAAAGCTTTTGGTAAGTGGGATGTGAAGATTCTTAAAATGACATCTGTAAGGAGGTGAAGCAGTTCAGGCTAAATGTCTGACAGATCAAATTCACTCTGAATTTATTTATTTGGTTTTATATCAAATATAGCCTGGCCAGCTCATATACAGCAGCAGACTCATATTATGACGGCTTTATATGAGAAATGTAACCTAAATACATTTTCAGGCGCAATATTTGAGTAATAGTATGTAAATCAACATAGATCAGCATGTTAGCACTCTCTCAACTGTTTATAGAAGATTATAAAGTTTAGTATTGACAGTATTAAATGTGAATCAGATCTAATAGGATGTGAGCGCCTCTGTTACTTCCCGTACAGACTGAAGACTGGTGTAAAGCTATCTGCCTTGAGTGCAAGACAGAATGTTTTGAGTCATCGCCCCTACTGCCACCACTTGATCTTGTCTGCAGACCAAGCAAGGTGCAGTTCATCTCGAACTAGCCTGATGTTATTTTAATCATAAAAACAGAACTGCCCACTTTGTTGTAGAGCTCTATGGCCATTGGATGGCTATAGCTACGTCAGACGTACACGCTACGTACGCAGAGTGCTAGCCAATAGACGTTTACATCCAAATCGGATTTAAAACTGTCCCGGGGAATCAAAGTTTTGGCACACCGAGCAGTTTCTCGTTTGTCTCAGTGAAGCTTGGCTGTCATAAAGCTATTTGTATCTATGTTGTTATTATAAACAATTCTTGTCATATGAGATCAATACAATTCTGTGTGCATTGTACAAGCGGTGGAAAAGTTGAGCTGGTACGGTAAAACCGCTTAAGTCAATGCGACGACATGAGAAAATGGGTTTCCCTGATCGCAGAGGGCTCTGTCGATAACAACTCGGGGTGTTTCGAGAGCAGCTCGTCCATAAGGACTTTGAGCACTTCTTCATGTCTGGATCATTTCGCTGACCGAACTGACGATACACCCCCTGGAATCTCAACATCCGGGATAGGGCAGAAATCTCATCTCGCACGGTCCCAGGTATGCTAAGCTAATATAAGGCATACCGTTAATTTACAAAAACGTTAATACAATCCGTGTTGTAGAGACATGTTGACTTCACAACACATCAGGACAAGCTTATTGTTATTGGCATGTTTATTTTTTTTAATTAATTTGAGTGCTTTGTGGTCGGTATGTAGTTTGTCAAATACATGAGTTCAGTGACATTAGTAGCACATAAGTTACCTCGACAGGCTAATCATCTGCATCAGACGCACGATGGTTACCAGAGTCAAAGACGGAAGCTTTACGTTTGTCTTCAGAATAAATGCACGTTATTTAACGTAAACACTTGGAATAAATTATTTAGCTAGTGGTTTGTCTAAACAGTTTGAAGTTTTTGCAGTACATTTGAAAGTTAGTAATACTTATAGTAATTGATCGACAGAAAAAGGCATGTAGCAATTAAAATTCAGCTTTTGGCCGAAGTTTAGCATTTAATAGTGTTCTTATCAAAAGGATATCAGATGCATTTTGGGCTAGTGAAAAACAACAATGTAACGTTAATACCTAAAATAAAACAAAACTTTAGCAGTGTGAATAGGTGTCAGCTTCTCGCTGCCAGTAAAACAGTATGCATCAGTGTTTAATGATATAATGTAATGCTGACCTCTATAACTGACTGAACAGCAATGGGTTGTAATCTATGTTTATAACCGTGTTCAGGGTCTAGGCATAGCATGTCCACGGCCTGAAGGTAAACTTGTGAAAAGGAGTTTGAATTTTGCGGTTTTATTTTGAAGACGACATGCGTGACGTTTTGATTGCATTTGTGTATTTCCGGTAACTTTACTAGTGATTTATTTTGGACTGAGGCGTCACATCGCCTTTGTTGGAACATAGTTTGGCACGTTTTAGTGTACAGTATTTAACAATCGAATTTCTGTGGGAATAAGCAGGTAAGTTGTCTAACTGCAGTGTGTTCATTATGGACAGAGGGAAACTGCAGTTTAAGCCTTGGGAAGCATGGGATGGGGGATGGGGTCATGTTGCTCCAACTAACGCTAGCTAAACACACCGATGAGGGAAGCTAGACTAAGTTCCAGCCTCCAGGTCATGACAAACCCAATAGTAGCCTTAACTTAATATTTCATGTACGTTTTCATTGTTTTTAATTACATGCGGCTAAGTTATGTGTTAATACAGTGGATTCTTGAGAAGTTTTTAATGCCCAAAATGGCTGCCTTGCGAGGCGGAGGATACGACGAGATAATGCAAACTAAAGTTCTAAATTGTCTAATATGAAACATTTTGACGCACATGCTGCCTTTTAACAAGTTGTACATGGGTTTTTTTTCTCAGGCAAAGAGAAGGCTGGAGCTGGAAGCCAATGACCCCCAGGAACTTCAGGATGGAGGCAGGACTAACAAAGCCAAGAAGGAAAAAGGAGGAGGAAAGAGTAGGACTTTATATTGTACTGTCTTGTATTTAGGATTTTCAAAATACTAATGTGCTGAGCAAGAGAGGTAGTAGCACCAAATCTCTCTTTCATCAGACTTGATGCTGCATGCCTCTTTCACTGCACACTAGCATCACACTGAAACTCCATACTACACCAAGTTCTGTTGAAGAAGCAATGGCTAACAAAGCACTGACAGTTTAAAATCATGCTAAGAAAAGAATGATAAATGTCAGAAGAGAGATGAATATGGTAGAAGTCTTGTATAGATGTCACATTTATAGCTTCTCAAACATATTTGTTTTTCCAGCTCCTGCCTCCAGTCCCATAGCAGGCAAGCCCCCATTTGAGAAGTCACGCTATGATACCTCGCTGGGTCTCCTGACACGGAGGTTCGCAGATCTGCTGAGATGCTCTGCTGACAGGGTGTTGGACCTAAATGAAGCCACCCAGAAGCTCAATGCCCATAAGAGGCGTGTCTACGATGTCACCAATGTCTTGGAGGGGATCCACCTCATTAAAAAGAAGTCCAAAAACACGGTCGAATGGTTGTAAGTATGAGTGGATGTAGTAGTTGATGTCTGTATTTTGGAGTAAGCTTGTTGTCCTATGCATAGTAAGACTGATAAATGCTTTGTTTAAAGATATTTCATTTTGACCAATCTGTATATATTATTAATAGTGTCTACATCTCGTACTTAATTTGACTGTATTATTCTCATGTTCTTATTCTGTTATGTTCAGAAGTACTAAAGTATAGAAAGATAAACGGCAGTATATGTACCAATGAAAAGTGATTTGTAACACTCTAAAGTGTGTAATTGAGAGACCCCATATTAAATGCAGACATAGCAACTTGTCCAGCCTTACAACAATTCTCTCTACAGAAACAAGGCATTAACAGACATGCAACGTGTTTTTATTTTTATTTTTATTGTTTTGTTTGTGTTTTTTAACTTGACGTTAAGTCCCACATGAAGGGTGAATGCGGCGGAGTGAGTCTGAACCAACCATAGCTGGTTGAGGGATAGATGGGAGGGAGAAAACAGCCATGCAGCTGCTGCACTGGACAGAGCACCACAGTCATGCTAGCTGTTAGCCTTACAAGCTTGCAGGCTGTGGGCAAAGCTGAAATTGTGGGTTCCTCTGCAGGTTTATCACTGTTTAGCAGATGTTTCGTTAAATTATTCCTACTGACTTTTTGCTCACAACGGTAATACTGCACATACAGTAACAAGCTTTGGTATTGTAAACTTCAGCTGCAAGTCTTAGTTTTCACTTCTCCTGGGCCCCCACTGCTGCGACAGCAACTGTCTGCTCTGTGTGTAGGAGCTGAGCACTGTCCACTCATTCAACCACAACACAAAGGAGAAGCAGCTTTATAAACACCAAAACCATATTTCTAATCTCACACAGTGGTGTTTGATAAAATGCTCCTGTAGATCCATAGCACATTAGCACCAGTTTTTCTGTTTAATTGCGAGTTACTACACTATCTACAGCTTACAGTTTGTTAGTTATGCCTTCACCTCAGAAATGCATCTTTCCTACATGTTCTCTCTTAATACAGCCATGATAACAGCAGGTGGCACGTTTCTGCAATTGGGCACACTTTCAGTGTCTTCACCTGACATGCCCCCAGCATTTCAGAGCAGAGAATACTTATTTTTTCACTCTTTTGAAAGCTAATTTTATATATTTGCTGATCTTTTTAATTACTGAAATTTATCTGAGTGGTTAATAATGCATTTTTCTGTGGTGGGACAGATTTGGAACATATTTATTTCCACTTTACCTAGACTTCATTTCCTCATGATGAGTAGTAACATTTGATGTTTTAAAGTGAAATCTGTTATGGTGTAAGTCCTCTATTGCTGTTTGTGTGTGCACAGGGGCAGTGAAATGAATTTGGGTGAAGATCAAGGGCTGCCCGCTCTTATCGAGGAGGAGAGAAAGCTGGATGAGCTGATCCAAACTTGTACACAGCAGGTTCTCCAGATGTGTGAAGATCGTCACATTCAAAGATATCCTTTGTTTCTAAATTCAGCTTCATCTTACTTTGTATTATTGGAAGCCAGTGGTTTATTTTTTGCCACATTGGTTTGCGTAGTAGAACAACTAAACACCGTTGGAAAGGCAATATGTGTTGGTTGTAAAGGGAGATCCCCCCAGCCATGTTATAA